CGGATGGCTCCAAATTCATCAACTCAAAAATCCCCATATGTTATGCTTTTCGGCCGGGAAATGAGAGCTCCACAAGATGTAGCATTAATTCCAAAAGAAAATTTAGGCCACAATAACAAAAGTTATCTTTCCAATTTGCTTGAGGAGCTTCAAATCACTAGAACAATCGCAGCTGAAAACACTGCTCGGGCTAAGGAGGTGTATTCAGAACAATATAATAAAAAGGCTAAAGAACCAGAATTCGCCCCAGGTCAAAGAGTTTGGCTTTACTGTCAAAAAGTTGAAAAAGGCCTTTCCAACAAATTAACCAAAAAGTGGTATGGTAGCTATTATATCATCCATACAGGTCCAAATTATACCTACAAACTGCGCCGAAGTTCTGACGACAAAATACACAAACCACTGGTCCATGCCAACCGTCTGAAGCCATATTTTGATCCTGCTGATCGTCCACAGTATCCTCCAGAACCATACCTCAATAACCCCAGTGACATAGATTCAGGAGTCATGGATGACAACGAGGAACCAGTCAATGATACTCAGTTTGACAGCAACATATCCCCATCAACAAGATCAACTTACCAGGCTACTGATCAATCACCTCCACAACAGAAAGGTAAGAAGGTCAATTCCAAAACAAAGGCAAGTACTTCCAGCAACAAGAGTCCGAAGCAAAAGACCCCAACAAAGAAGAAAAACCCTGCTTCAAGTACAACAGAAAAACCTACCAGTACCACGGCAACCATGAAGGAAAATCATGCCACACCAGGTCCTAGTGCTCCAACCAAGGTAAATGAAAAGGTAAACAAAGGGAAAAGAGGAGTGAATAGTAAGCATCACCAGCCCAAATCCAGAAAACAACCTGACGACAGCCAGGTACAACCTCCAAGTCCAACATCAGGTAATCAAACCAAGGATATCCCTCAGGTCTTCAATCCAGAGGGCATCCACTCAATTGTTAGTTCCAAGAGAGCAAATGGCAAAATCTACTACAGAGTAAAATGGAAGGACCCAGAAAGAGGAAACACATGGGAGTATGGCAGCAGCATTCCAGACTCCATTCGGAGAGAATTTCACCTCAAAAGAAGTATGTCAGGAAAACGACGAAAACGTCCACTGAAGAATCATAAGTTTTTCGACCAAAAGGAATCAGCACAAGACAATAAATCAATCAATGTTCTGTCAGGGAATACAATGTCCGGAAATGTCAAGCAAGACAACACCAAACCATGCATAGAATTAGATGTCAAACCATATCCGTTTTTTCCAAAACACCTACGAAAAGTAGATCATAAAATGGAAAGAGTTATGGGCATTGAAATTATTCAAGGAGACTGCTATGTCAAGGTCTCATATAAAGAATATCCTGGTCAATTCACATGCTATTTCGAAAGTGTTCCTCCCCACCTCATACAGCGCTACCTTGATGATAGCTGGAACGATCTCCATGAGTGGCTGGGTCTAGAAGATAATCCTCGATATGATCCAGAGGAACCACCAATTTATAAATCCAAAAGGGTTATTTTTCAAGATATAGACCATGAAAACATCAACACCTTTTCCTACCGTATTTCACTCACAGACAGTATTCATCCATACCAGGATCAACGCACCATACATACCGAACAATGCCAATTGCACATATTCTTGATAAAAATACAAAATCTCCTGAATAAACGGTGCAAATCACGAAACAGCTATTAGCTGTATCTTGTTATGTTTTCTTGTGTCCAGTCTTTTCACTATGGGTCGCCAGTTGAGAACAAATGGCATCAGCCTGATCATCTGAGTTATTTGTATCACAACAAATTTTGAGCATTGACCTGATCAACCAATCTCAAAAGCGAACCCGCACCCAAACCGTACCGAAATGAAATGACACAAACCAAACCATACTGGGAAGCGAACCCAAACGGTACAAAAGCGAACCCAAACCGTAGCGAAGTGAAATGACACGAACCCAAACCGTACCGAAGCGAACCAAACCATACTGGGAAGCGAACCCAAACCCGTACCGAAGCGAACCAAACCATACTGGGAATCGAACCCAAACCGTACCGAAGCGAACCAAACCATACTGGGAATCGAACCCAAACCGTACCGAAGCGAACCAAACCATACTGGGAAGCGAACCCAAACCGTACCGAAGCGAACCAAACCATACTGGGAATCGAACCCAAACCGTACCGAAGCAAAATAAACCAAACCCTAGGAAGGAAAATCAAAGCGAAACAAACCAAATTCAAATAAAGCAAACTTAACAACCGAAATGAACCAAAACAAAGAAAAGGCAAACCAAATAGTTACGAAAACTAACAATGATATACACCTTTTGTATACCGTATTAATGTAACAAATCAATGCACTTGTTATATGCACATGCACATATAATGTGTCTAATGATTGTATCCAAAAGTAGAAGGATATTACTATTTTTTTCATGATAAACTTTTGTAATTTGCCGCCAATACATCTTTCCTGGTCATGACACCGTTTAGTAATAATTATGTACTGATCTTTTACATCATAGTTATCATATTTGTTTTATTTTCTAGTTATTACAGACAAACTAAGGAAATATTTATATATGACATATTATTTGAACATGCTAACTCTCTTTTCTTTGTTTCCATGTAACACCTCCATGGACACAGCCTACTACCTTACAACCCCCCCAATCCAGGATGTGGAACTCAAGGCCTACCTACATCACCCATAAAGCCACCAGTACAGAGTGCCAAGACAAGCCAGCTCCACATCCAGAACCCTTGATGACAGCATTTTTATATTATGTTTCCTTATGTCAAAGAGACTCTATAATAATCATTATTCACTACTACCAGTTTAACTTTATACATTGTCCATCTAAGCCTTAATTATTTTTATTTTTACACGTTTGGGGTCCAAACTTTTTCAGACGGAGGGGAAGTTATCATGGGATAACATTTATACTAAGTTATCTTATAATAATTAGATCTACATCAAGTGCTTTTATGAGTTATCATGGTGTAATATTTATACATCATTTCATATAATTATAGTTTACCAAGTAATAAATATCATTAGGTAAAATGCATATATAAAATATCAGTAGTTTCAGTTAAAGCTTTTTAGATGGTTGCTAGCCTAAGGTAATGGGAGCGCGTCTTCTAGACATACTATTCAATAAGACAAGAGTTACGTCTACATAGTTTAATTGATTTGAAGCTTTTAGATAAATGCTAGCCTAAGGTATCAAGATCCCATCTCCCAGACAAAGGATATTTATTTAAGTATATCTGTCATCACCTACCGGGGTATATTAGAATAACATTACTTCAATTAAGACTCATTAAGGATTAGCCCCCATACAAGCTCGTCTATAGTGCATTAAGGATTAGCCCCCATACAAGCTCATCTATAGTGACACCCTAATCTCTTTCAAAGCATCCAGTAAATATGTCAACAAGATTAGTGCCAGTCCAACAGGATAAACAGGATTTAGTATTCCCCTCTGTCTAGCCATCCATTTAGCTTAGGACACAACCAATCGTGTATCATCCAATCACATTCCATTTTATTGTTTAAATTTTTGTTAAATACATACTGTAGGCAGGTTTTAGGCAGAGAAGGGGTTTGACTCTCTTACCAAGCAGACCTCTCTCCCACAGCCCAGAGTGTGTACCGACTCTCTGTGGCACCCTAAGTTATTATCTAAGATATTGTAAATTGTTAATTGTTCTTGTAAATAAAATTGTGATTAGTCTCCTGTGACTCTGGCTCTTTGCTGACTAATTCCCCAAGAAAACCAGCACGTCATTTGGAAGGTATTGTTCACCCAGAACAGCTCCATGATAGGGCACCAGAAATAGGCTTTGCTCATTGTACCCATATACAAGCGAACACTTTACCCGCTGGGCTATTTCAGCGCCCCTGTCGATATAATGATAGCAGTGTGAAGCCAAGGCTTGCTTATAGCAAATCTTTTAAATGGTAATTAAGTTAACTGTTTTTGCTTCAGTCACTTGAGTAGCATATTTAACAGTAGACTTTCATATAAATGTGATAAGACAATGCTGTTTTTTTAATTCATGTTTTACACATTTTTATTAACCATTTAGCATGTTTAGCTAAGTAGGTAAATAAAAATAAAATACATTTTTGTAGCTCAATATTTTTTACATATTTTACTTCTTTTGGGTTGGTCAATGTATGGGTTTAAAGTTTGAAGCACTCTTTACTAGTTTCACTGTTGCATGTCTGTGTATTGAGTTCAGTCAGATAGATTTTGCTCTCTAATAAAGGAGTTGTTAGCAGTAGCCAGAGACTTCATTTCTGCATTTCATATTCAATTGTCATTTGATCAGTTCAAATATTTTATGGGGTCAGGTTGGCCAATTCATCTAAGGCACTGCTATTCACTAGGCATAGTTCTTTCTTATGCTTACAAAAATAAAGAATTGGTTCTCAGACAATGACTTTTGAAAATATAGTGCGGGCAGTGTTTTTTTTCTGTTTTGCTTGTTCAAACTAGTATGTAATGAAATAAACAGTTGTGTACTATCAACCTGGGTAAGGTGCCTCCCTACATAAGCAAGCATACAAACTCCTATTGCCGCCATGACCCTGACACGAGATGCGCAGTAAAGCAGTGTGCATGTAAAGTGAAGTAACTGTGTGCTATGTTGGATCGCATTGTTTTCAAGTATTAGGATTTTAAATTTTTTTTGAAAATGGAAACAAAAATTAAATGTGCAGCAGACTTTAAAATGATGTGGGTGCTGTCTGAGAACCGAGACTATTATTTTTTTTAGCCTTAGGTGTGTCAGAAACCCAGGGTCGTGGTTCGAATCCAGGTTCACCCTGATATGTTTCTAGGTTTGTAAGCACCATGCATCTAGCATATAAGGCTTACTTTAACCTTTTCTCCCAAATGAAGCTGACACACCGGGATATAGATGAAATAACTTTCAAACATTGTTGAAGCAAACTCCCTCACTCACTCTTTAATTGTCTCAAAGGACAACCATCGGGAGATGGAACGACTGCGGGAACAGATCAAATCGATGGAGGAGGAGGTTCGGCAGCTGAAGGCGGAGAAACAACAGATGAACCGCTCCGAGCGGGACACCACGTCAGCCCTGGAGCGTGCCGAGAGAACGGTGGTCAACGAAGTGAATGAGGAGTGTCGCCGGAGTGCTGGCGTGCTTGGCATTGCACCCAGAAGAGTCAATCAGGGGAGGTAAGTCATGTCCCTGTGGGGATTCCGGGTCAGAATAGGTCCCCAGCACCCTGTGCTGGTCATAAGAGGCAGCTTACTGGATCGGGGGATCAGGCTTGGGGACTTGTTGATTGTATGTCATTGTACACCTGCAGTAGGGATCATTGCTCCAGGGGTCCGGAAACCGTCATATGCGCCGGACATGTCCGATTGGGAATCTCAAATGTCCGGTATTCAAATAACTATTGCTTCAACGATATTTTAGTATTTGTGAATATATTATCTGTCTTGTTTTTAAATAATCTTTAGTTTAAAAAAAACCTTTTCCCGTGAGGTCACGTGATAACCAAATATGGGATAATAGTCTCGATCAAAATGTTACAACGCGTACACTTGAGCAGACTCATGAATATAACTCATGAATATTAATTAGACCCTTCACTACGTTAACAGATTGTTATTATAACAGAAACAAATGTATGTTTTCCATGTACATCTAAAATGATATTATTTGTTATTAGTTGCCCGGTGAATTAAACAATTTAAATTGAAACAATTCATAATTCATCATATTATGAACACGTAACAACTTGTAATGTGTGTGAAAAGTCGTACTAAAATACGCTATTTGAAGGGGGCGTGGCCTAAATGCAAATGTCCGATTGGGATTTTAAATTTTCCGGACCCCTGCATTGCTCATAATATCCATCACTGGATTGTCTGGTCCTGACTTGATTATTCATAGGCCACACTCATATAGGTGGGATATTGCTGATTGTGTCAATAAACAACAAACAAACAAACATAACTGTGTCATGTACGGACAAATATCCATTACTCAAAACACAAGACGAGGAGTAGGATTGATGCAACCATTAGTCGAGAATGTTTTTAATAAGTTTAAGGATTATGCCCGCCCTAAAATAATGAAAAGTGGGTAAAGTCTTAATTAGCTCTAATTGTGTCTGTTCTGCCTATTACGTGTTTGCCATCAGGAAGCCGAGCACAGCCCACATGGCCACAATGCAGGGAACTTCCTGAAACACAAAGAGGAATTCCTGAATTGGTTGATTCAGCATTTGTCATTAGCCTGCACGGATCACTCCTCCCACACTGATTCCCCCCATGTTTGTTTCAGTGTTAATGGCACCAGAAGCCCCTTGCCATTCATCCGTCTCCTCCCCGTGCCATTCAGCCGCCTCCTCCCTGTGCCATTCAGCTGCCTACTCCCACACTGATTCCCCCCATGTTTGTTTCAGTGTTAATGGCACCAGCAGCCCCGTGCCATTCAGCTGCTTACTCCCACACTGATTCCCCCATGTTTGTTTCAGTGTTAATGGCACCAGCAGCCCCGTGCCATTCAGCTGCTTACTCCCACACTGATTCCCCCATGTTTGTTTCAGTGTTAATGGCTCCAGCAGCCCCGTGCCATTCAGCTGCTTACTCCCACACTGATTCCCCCCATGTTTGTTTCAGTGTTAATGGCACCAGCCGCCCCGTGCCATTCAGCCGCCTACTCCCACACTGATTCCCCCATGTTTGTTTCAGTGTTAATGGCACCAGCAGCCCCGGGCCATTCAGCCGCCTCCTCCCACACTGATTCCCCCCATGTTTGTTTCAGTGTTAATGGCACCAGCAGCCCCGTGCCATTCAGCCGCCTCCTCCCCGTGCCATTCAGCCGCCTCCTCCCACACTGATTCCCCCCATGTTTGTTTCAGTGTTAATGGCACCAGCAGCCCCGTGCCATTCAGCCGCCTCCTCCCCGTGCCATTCAGCCGCCTCCTCCCACACTGATTCCCCCCATGTTTGTTTCAGTGTTAATGGCACCAGCAGCCCCGTGCCATTCAGCCGTCTCCTCCCCGTGCCATTCAGCCGCCTCCTCCCACACTGATTCCCCCCATGTTTGTTTCAGTGTTAATGGCACCAGCCGCCCCGTGCCATTCAGCCGTCTCCTCCCCGTGCCATTCAGCCGCCTCCTCCCACACTGATTCCCCCATGTTTGTTTCAGTGTTAATGGCACCAGCAGCCCCGTGCCATTCAGCTGCTTACTCCCACACTGATTCCCCCATGTTTGTTTCAGTGTTAATGGCACCAGCAGCCCCGTGCCATTCAGCTGCTTACTCCCACACTGATTCCCCCCATGTTTGTTTCAGTGTTAATGGCACCAGCAGCCCCGTGCCATTCAGCCATCTACTCCCACACTGATTCCCCCATGTTTGTTTCAGTGTTAATGGCACCAGCAGCCCTGTTCCCTTCAGCAGCCTCAACTCAGGCAAATATAGGACACCCATCACTGTGGCGCTGGTAATAACTTCAGATAGTCTGTTCATGTGGCTTGTCAATTATCATCAGTACAATTCATTATTTATTTAGAGATGAAATACTATGTTTATCTGAAAATATAAAATTGATTTTACTCAAGTGAACTAATACTGTTTGACAGAAGTATTTCCCATCAGGAAGCAAGTTCATAATAAGCATTTGGCTCTTCTTGTCAAATAACATGTTTAACTAACTCATGAACTGCTAAAGTTGATATTTGAAAAGAAAAACAAAAGATATTCTATATATTCCAGTATCGTTTTCTGATTTTGAAAGGGCTGTATAGTTTTACAGCTCTTCATATGGTGTTGAATACAAAATGCAGAATGGTTACAAAAAAATATTGGATCATTTACTGGAAAGGGATCTGTGATGTGTAACTGTGGAGCCTCACATGTAAAACAATGTGGCCTGTGTTGTGTGACTGTGGACCCTTACATGTAAAACAATGTTGCCTGTGTTGTGTGACTGTGTGGACCCTCACATGTAAAACAATTAGGCCTGTGATTTGTAACTGTGGAGCCTCACATGTAAAACAATGTGGCCTGTGTTGTGTGACTGTGGACCCTTACATGTAAAACAATGTTGCCAGTGTTGTGTGACTGTGTGGACCCTCACATGTAAAACAATGTGGCCTGTGTTGTGTAACTGTGTGGACCCTCACATGTAAAACAATTAGGCCTGTGTTGTGTGACTGTGTGGACCCTCACATGTAAAACAATGTGGCCTGTGTTGTGTGACTGTGTGGACCCTTACATGTAAAACAATGTGGCCTGTGTTGTGTGACTGTGTGGACCCTTACATGTAAAACAATTAGGCCTGTGTTGTGTGACTGTGTGGACCCTCACATGTAAAACAATGTGGCCTGTGTTGTGTGACTGTGTGGACCCTCACATGTAAAACAATGTGGCCTGTGTTGTGTGACTGTGTGGACCCTCACATGTAAAACAATGTGGCCTGTGTTGTGTAACTGTGTGCACCCTCACATGTAAAACAATGTGGCCTGTGTTGTGTAACTGTGTGCACCCTCACATGTAAAACAATGTGGCCTGTGTGGACGAGTAACTGTGTGGACCCTCGCATGTAAAACAATGTGGCCAGTGTTGATGTGTGATTGTGTGGATCCTGCAGGCTAACCTGCGGGCCTGCAACGAGGAGCTGCGGGGTCACGTGGCTGACCTGAAGCAAGAGCTGGAGACTCATCGCAGCCTGCTGCAGAAGACCCAGAGAGACAAGGTGTGTACTGGCACGACACTCACAATGTAAAATATGGGTTCACCATCACTAGCTCATATGGTCTGACATTGTCATGTATATGCAGGGCTGAGACTTTTTCGGTGGAATCCTGTGGATTTCATTACATCGAGGGTCACTTTTGTGATAGGTATCATTACAATATACCCATACATCACATAGTCACCCTGAGTAGACTACCATTGAAAAATATTTTTCTAATTCCTGCATATGTGAAAGGGGCTTATTGCTATAGTACACTTAATGTCACTTTCTACTTAGAAGGTCAGGTAACAATTATGCCTGTATCTTCCAATGAAACAAGTAAATATATCATTTCTGTTACAAATTCTGGTAGTTTGTTCAATGTTTAGGCCAAACAAATATATAATTTTGTTAGCAGTGAGATGCCAGTAATATTATTTCAACTGGGAACATATAATTTGTATCATATCTGTAGCTAGTTGTCAAGAAACAGTATAAAAAATATAGCATATAGTACTCTCATCACTACTTTGTGTTTAGGGCATGTCACCTCCATTAGTTGTAGGATAAACACGTCTCATCCGTTTAATTTAATCTCATTTAATTCTCATAAAATCCCAAGGGGAAATGTTTTATTAAAAACTGAAAGAAAAACTTGAAACAAAATTTATCAAAAAATTTCCATGATCCTTAGGAAACAGACGTAGAATATATATCTCTTGTAGGCACACATGTACTTGAGAAAGAGCTTCATGAAGGCATTGTGGTTTATCAGTGATTCACTCAGTGGGCCTACGGAAACAAAGGTTGCAATTTCGATCCACTGAAATATAGAATCAATGATAATTTATGTGAGAAATTGGAGGTGTTTTGTGTGTAATAGATATATAAAATACCGGGGATTGCACCATTTTGGATTTCCTGTGTTATGAAGACAAGGGGATGATGTCACTGGAGTTTTTGACATAGAAGAAACAAGTTGTATAGGGGGAGTGTTTTCTTATGTTTTTCTTCTTTTTCCTTTCCAGGATGAATCACTAGACAACCTTAGAAGAGATTTAGAAAAAGAGAAGAATATAGAATTAGAAAGTTTAAAAGAGCGATTATTTAGGGTGAGTAATCTGTGTTAGTGCACTGTGTATGACTTGGCAGTTTACTTGGATGGGGATAAGTCGTAGTGACAGTTTCAGTGATTAATTATATTTCAATGCAATCAAATATGTAAATTGTATCATGCATGTTACTTCAAGGGATATAAAACAGTAGAGTAAATTTCTTCATAGAAAATGAAAAACTGTACAAATCAGTAAATCTGTTTCCAGTGAATATGAACCAAATTGCATGAAAACACATATAAACAGTATAAGTGTATGGATTATTAAATATGAAATAGCTACTGTGTAAAATATAGATCATATTCAGATGAGTAGATATACCTGTTTTCAAGCTGTTTTGTTTTCACAATGTTAGGATCAACTGCAGTGAGTATTGGGTATCAAAGAGTCTGTGTTTATATCTTTGCATCACTTCAGGCTTCCCACCCACATCAAGCTGACACACTGGATAAAATTATATATTTTCAACTCGGTGTTAAACCCAAGTCACTCACTCACTCACACACTCTGTTGATTTCAGTTGATAGAGGAAGTGTCAGATATTCGACGATTAAAAGAAAAAGCTCTCAGATTTGATGGCAGTTTTTGTTCGTAAGAAGCAAGCACTGACAGTGTGCATACGTAGACTAGACGTGACTTTCCCCTTTATGTTCCTCACCTTCTCTCAGTCTCAGTCTACTCACGAGTGAAACAGTCGGAGCACTTCTCAAGACAGCGATCATAGCAAGTCATTAAAACAGCATAGTCAGCACTTCACGGGTTGTATTCACTTCGATCTTCCTTCATCAGCGACGACATACGTCCGATATGCAGTGTGGTGTAGGATAGTCACTATGTTTAACCAATGACTAAAGCCATGGCCTGGTTCCAGTGGGAGGGAGACCACAGAGTACACAGATTATACAGCACAAACATTTCTCCTTTGCTTTGCGCAGTGTTAGAAACATAAAAAGTTGCCAGGTTGCCATCCGGACCCACAGACTTTAGAAGCTGCAGGCCCTGACCAAACGGTTTAGGTCCCCATTTATAAAGACCCTCCACTCGTTGTGACAGATAAATCGACACTTAAATATACTGCAGGACCCGTACAAATGAGAACCTACTAGCCACACACAATATCTACCTGCCACGAGCCTTCGGGCAGGTGCTTATTGTCGAACAATGGCCTGGCCCTCTACTCTACCCATCTCAATATCAGGCAATGTATGGTTCACACAAAATTTATGCACAGAGTATGGGGTCTTTTTGACATCAATGAGTTATACACAGCCTTGTGTCATTGCATGCATAGTATAAGGTCTATTTGACATCTATGACTTATACACAGCCTTGTTTCATTGCATGCACGGAGAATAGGGTCTATTTGACATCCATGAGTTATACACAGCCTTGTGTCATTGCATGCATGGTGTATAGGGTCTATTTGACATCAATGAGTTTTACACAGCCTTATTTCATTGCATGCATGGTGTATAGGGTCTATTTGACATCCACGCATCATACACAGCCTTATTTCATTGCATGCATGGTGTATAGGGTCTATTTGACATCCACGCATCATACACAGCCTTATTTCATTGCATGCATGGTGTATAGGGTCTATTTGACATCCACGCATCATACACAGCCTTATTTCATTGCATGCATGGTGTATAGGGTCTATTTGACATCCACGCATCATACACAGCCTTATTTCATTGCATGCATGGTGTATAGGGTCTATTTGACATCCACGCATCATACACAGCCTTGTTTCGTTGCATCGTGACTACACCGCGCCATATGATCTATATGAATTCATGCACAGATTAGGCCTCATTTGACTTCTAGGAATTCCACATGGCTTCATTCATTGGATGACTGAAACTAGACGTACATCACCACTCCACCACATATGGCCCAATGTATTGTCGGGTGAATACAACAGTGTATGTGGTGTATACAACACGTGAAGTATGGCGATGTTTAGGTAGTGAACTAGACACTGTGGTCTGACAAAGAAGTAGATTAACCAATCGCAAAAGAGACTGTAGTTTAGTCCTGTGGTATAATGAGAAATGATCCATGAACTAGACACTGTGGTCTGACAAAGAAGTAGATTAACCAATAGCAAAAGAGATTGTAGTTTAGTCCTGTGGTATAATGAGCAATGATCCATGCAGCAAAGGTTGCTGGAACTTACTCTAATCCAGAATTCACAAAGTTGTCAATACATGGACCAAATAGTTTGAAATGTCCCACTAGAATAAACTAGATCCAACAACTGCTCTAATGCAGGTCAGTAAGTAGAAGGATGTTTTTCTGTACATACCGGTACATTCCAACCTTGGTGAAATGAAAAATTGCCATAAAATCTGAACAAAACATGTATACTGGCCTGTATTTGCCACCATGCAAATATCCAAACACCCTGAAATACCTATTTTCATGCCTCCACACTGCTGGCCATTGTTCCCAGTAGTGAAATCAACACTTACTTGTTCAACACTCACTTACTGTTTGCTTCATTCTCCTGTAATTACAACATTAGAATGACTGTGAACAGGAACAATCATCCTTCTTTAAGTGTATAATTGTCTGAGAGTATTGACTTGTGTGACTATATACCACTATGCATCCTCGATAACCCAGCGTATTATGTCTCCAATCTATTATGATAAATACTCTGGACCCACTGACTTCCACTGCTTCGTTATGGCAGTGATGGCAACGTTTCTACTTCAATGATCATTAGCCTGTTACAGAATTTCCCTCGCTCATGGGTGTAATTAGATTGGAGACCCGTGAAGATTCCGGGGTAGAATAGGTCTTCAGCAACCCATGCTTGCCGTAAAAGGCGACTATGCTTGTCGTAAAAGGCAACTAACGGGATCGGGTGGTCAGGCTCGCTGACTTGGTTGATGCATGTCATCGATCCCAATTGCGTGGATCGAAGCTCATGATGTCAATCACTGGATTGTCTGGTCCAGACTCGATTATTTACAGACCGCCGTCATATAGCTGTAATATTGCTGAGTGCGGCGTTAAACAATAAACCAACCAACCAACCAATTGGATTGGATAGCTATTTTCGGGCACCATGCCATGAAATCATATGTAATGTTACGTAAAAAATTTTGATAGCTCCTCCTAGATTCATGTGACAGTTGTTTTTATCCCCCTCCCCACCATCTCCTGACACACCCGGGGGGCACAGGTGGCCTAGTTGTCTAAGGTGCTGCGATTCGCTGTGCAGAGTTGCGTCCCTTGGGCACACCAGAAACCTATGATTGTGGGTTCGAATCTCTGTTCGGCCCGATTATGTTTCTAGGTTTGTCAGCACCATACCCATGCTTGTGGGTTTCACCGAGGTGGTAAACCTCTGAGACCTGCATCACTTCGGGCTTTCCTCCCACATTGAGCTGACACGCCATGATATAACGGGAATACTGTTAAAAGTTGCATTAAACCCAACTGACTGACTCACTGACTCCTAACACACCCACACTGTATCCACATCTTTAGATGACCAGTCCCTGATCATAGTACACTGTAGATGTATCATTGTGAAAGCGGGGATGATGACCATGCACTGTTTTCTTCCCCCCATCTGCTGTCAGGATCATGTAGATGAGACTAACAAAGCGAGCCTGCTGCGCCAGGCCCCCACTGACATCATTGACATGAAGAGAAATATACACCACTGGAAGGAGGAGACAACCGATAAATATGTCCGCAAATTTGAGGAGGAGTTGAACAAACAACTTGAAATGTAACTTTCGTTTTCAAAATTGTTTTCATAAAAGTGTGTAATGACATATGAAATCTGTTTGAAATTTCCCTTCAATCGGTTTACCTGTAATTTACCTGCATACATTACCTGTAATTTATTAGCAATATGTAAATAATTTTTTGATGTTCATGAGTGTATTAACATCTTGTAGTTACTTTCAAACCCATCTTTCTGTGCTGTTCATGTAGTGCATTGTTGTTGCTTGTAGACTTGCACCTTCCTCTCGTGGTTATTGATGAATGAAGTCGATGTGTCTCTGTAGGTGATCCTGCACTTTTAGTATGAATGTTTCATTAGATTATTATTCCATTCATTGATTTATTCACCTCCTTATTGAATAATATCTGGGTTTTTTTATTAAATACATTCAGAAATTAATAATGATGTGCAGGTTAACTGTACTGTTTCTAGATGTTGTAAAGATGAATAAATGTGATACGTTGCCAGGTGCAGAATAAATGAGATATTGCCAGGTGCAGAATACATGTTATACGTTGTCAGGTGCAGAATAAATGTGATACATTGCCAGGTTCAGAATAAATGAGATATTACCAGGTGCAGAATACATGTGATACATTGTCAGGTGCAGAATAAATGAGATATTGCCAGGTGCAGAATACATGTGATATAAGTTGTCAGGTGCAGAAAAAATGTGATACATTGTTAGGTGCAGAATAAATGAGATATTACCAGGCGCAGAATACATGTGATACATTGCCAGGTGCAGAATAAATGAGATATTGCCAGGTGCAGAATACATGTGATATACGTTGTCAGGTGCAGAATAAATGTGATACATTGTCAGGTGCAGAATAAATGAGATATTACCAGGTGCAGAATACATGTGATACATTTCCAGGTGCAGAATAAATGAGATATTGCCAGGTGCAGAATACATGTGATACGTTGTCAGGTGCGGAATAAATGTGATACATTGCCAGGTGCAGAATAAATGAGATACTACCAGATGCAGAATACATATGATATGTTGTCAGGTGCAGAATGAATGAGATATTGTCAGGTGCAGAATACATGTGATACGTTGTCAGGTGCAGAATAAATGTGATACATTTCCAGGTGCAGAATAAATGAGATATTGCCAGGTGCAGAATACATGTGATACGTTGTCAGGTGCGGAATAAATGTGATACATTTCCAGGTGCAGAATAAATGAGATATTGCCAGGTGCAGAATACATGTGATACGTTGTCAGGTGCGGAATAAATGTGATACATTGCCAGGTGCAGAATAAATGAGATATTGCCAGGTGCAGAATACATATGATATGTTGTCAGGTGCAGAATGAATGAGATATTGTCAGGTGCAGAATACATGTGATACGTTGTCAGGTGCAGAATAAATGTGATACATTTCCAGGTGCAGAATAAATGAGATATTGCCAGGTGCAGAATACATGTGATACGTTGTCAGGTGCGGAATAAATGTGATACATTTCCAGGTGCAGAATAAATGAGATATTGCCAGGTGCAGAATACATGTGATACGTTGTCAGGTGCGGAATAAATGTGATACATTGCCAGGTGCAGAATAAATGAGATACTACCAGATGCAGAATACATATGATATGTTGTCAGGTGCAGAATACATGTGATACGTTGTCAGGTGCAGAATAAATGTGATACATTTCCAGGTGCAGAATAAATGAGATATTGCCAGGTGCAGAATACATGTGATACGTTGTCAGGTGCGGAATAAATGTGATACATTTCCAGGTGCAGAATAAATGAGATATTGCCAGGTGCAGAATACATGTGATACGTTGTCAGGTGCGGAATAAATGTGATACATTGCCAGGTGCAGAATAAATGAGATACTACCAGATGCAGAATACATATGATATGTTGTCAGGTGCAGAATGAATGAGATATTGTCAGGTGCAGAGATATATATCCCAGGTTACTGTTGCTAGGTGAAGTAGATGTAAAATGCCCTACCAATACAAAGCGTTATTCCATTCTACATCCAAAGATACCTCAAAGATACATGGGTATTTACATAATGGCTGTTGCAGACAACAGCGACAGCACTGGAACATCCAGCGTGAACTGCGGGATCGGAACGAGCGACAACAGAAGGAGATCGAGAAACTAGAGAAGGAAATTCATAAAGTGGCCTTGGTAGGTTGTCTGCAATAGAAGGCCACATCACGGGATGTAAATCAACAACTGTGGAACTATGTACCAAATTCTCTGGTATTAACTTTCCTTCTATGATCTGTGTCTGAAAATTCAGCCATTTCCAGGATGTCACTAGGATTCCAAACAAAGTGCCCTTGTCAGGCAAATTGGAAAAAAATCATTATTTTGTGCAACATTGGGAATGTTTAAAGTCCCAAATTTCTTGACTATAGAAGTACTTTAACATTCAATATATTATTGGCATTCAGTACAGTAATTCCTGTTCCTCTGGACCTGTTGTCAGTGAAATACAAGTCAACTCACAAAGCCATATATTTGTCATCTGTAGTTATACACATCGACACAGGATTATTACGTCCTAGAATGTGAATATGGTCTGTGATGTCACTTCCAGTTGGTGTATTTAGTTTATTTTAGTTGTTATTTGGTGCACTCGACATTGTTGGGTGTCATTGCCTACCTACTATTCATTGTGTTCTGGTACAATGTAACAGAACTGGGAATAAAGGAAATATTCCTATCCATGTCAGTGTGTTTGTAACATAGGTTTAGAAGCAAAACTATATTTAGATGAATTGAGAATTTTGTCATTCTAGTTTGGAAGTTTGACATTTCCTGCAGACTGGGAGTCATCATTATGATTGATGAAGTTGTAGCTGTTGTAGGTCTCGGAGACAGCAAACAGCATCCATTTACTGCAGAATTTCTGCCAAATGTTTCATGTACAGTTTATATACATATCAAGTTTATTATATATCTATGTTCATATATTTGTTTGCCAACCAATGTATGTTACAGACTCAAGATCGGTATGTTAGCCCCGTGAGGAGCACCCTCCAACACAAGTTCCAGGGAGATAACTCTCTACAAAGATCCAAATACTTCTCCACGGCTTTGTCTGTGCCTGACTTGTCCAACCCAGCCCACTACAGACAGGTGAGTTCATCTCTGTACACTTCCTGCATCAACCTGGGTCACGGGTGGCCCAGTCGCCTTATAATGTCGCAATTTGCTCTACAGAGTTGTGGGTTTGGATCATTGTGAGTTCGAATCCAGGTTCCTCCTGAGTATGCTTCTAGGCTTGTCAGCACCATAGCTGTGCTTTTGGGTTTCACCAAAGTGGTAAACATCTGCATCACTCAGGACCTTCCTCCGACATTAAGCTGACACGCCGGGATATGACTGGAATACTGTTAAAAGCAGCATTGAACCATTAAACCTCACTCACTCCACATCTAGCTTGAAACCAAGAAGTCTTTATACTAGGCTTTTTCATGTGCTAATAGTTTGTGTAGCGAGTCACTCGGCAATACTCCAGCTATATGACGGCAACATGTAGGTAATCAATTCTTGCCCAGATTATCCAGTCATTGATGTTGAATAATTAACCTCCATAATGATCACACCATCCACCAAGTCAGTGATCCTGACCACGTGATCTATTTGGTCGCCTGTTACAACCAGCATATAGGTTACACCATAATGAACACACCATCCACCAAGTCAGCGATCCTGACCACGTGATCTATTTGGTCGCCTGTTACAACCAGCATATAGGTTACACCATAATGAACACACCATCCACCAAGTCAGCGATCCTGACCACGTGATCTATTTGGTCGCCTGTTACAACCAGCATATAGGTTACACCATAATGAACACACCATCCACCAAGTCAGCGATCCTGACCACGTGATCTATTTGGTCGCCTGTTACAACCAGCATATAGGTTACACCATAATGAACACACCATCCACCAAGTCAGCGATCCTGACCACGTGATCTATTTGGTCGCCTGTTACAACCAGCATATAGGTTACACCATAATGAACACACCATCCACCAAGTCAGCGATCCTGACCACGTGATCTATTTGGTCGCCTGTTACAACCCGCATATAGGTTACACCATAATGAACACACCATCCACCAAGTCAGCGATCCTGACCACGTGATCTATTTGGTCGCCTGTTACAACCAGCATATAGGTTACACCATAATGAACACACCATCCACCAAGTCAGCAATCCTGACCACGTGATCTATTTGGTCGCCTGTTACAACCCGCATATAGGTTACACCATAATGAACACACCATCCACCAAGTCAGCAATCCTGACCACGTGATCTATTTGGTCGCCTGTTACAACCAGCATATAGGTTACACCATAATGAACACACCATCCACCAAGTCAGCAATCCTGACCACGTGATCTATTTGGTCGCCTGTTACAACCCGCATATAGGTTCGGGGGACCTATTCTAACCTGGAATCCCATGGGAGTGTGGTAATTGTAGCTACTTTTTCTACACCAGTATTAGCTGACTATTTGTCTTACGGGACAGGTTAAGATATAGAATTGGTTAGGTGAAGTGAGAGACAGGTTGCCCAGTTGTTGCCCTAAGGCACCACGATTTGCTATGCAGGGTTGTCTCCCTTAGGTATGGCAGACAATGACCTATGATCATGGGTTCAAAACCCACATTCTCCCTGAATTAGTTTCTAGGTTTGTTGTACATGCTCGTAGGTTTCACTAAAGTGGGAATCGTCTGAGACCTGCATCTCATCAGGACTGATATGCAGTGATAAAACTGAATACTGTTCTGAACAGGGTTAAACCAAACTCTCTCCACTTGTGACACTTCTAAGAATTTGTGACTGTTTTCAGACACATTCTCGCAGCGTAAGTCCAACACGAGAACATGTTGTGGTTACCACCCTTGAAGAGCGGTTCAAGACAGCGGAGAAGGACGCGGCTCTGGCGGAGCAGCACACACGACAGAACCAGGCGGCTCTGTCACAGAAGATGACGGAGATGAATAAACTGCAGAACACACTGTCAAATCAAACCAAGGTCAGTGAAGTCTGGTCTGTGATGGTGATCAGTGCTTGTTGACATCAGGCTGAACATGCAGATAGGGGACACTGAGATAAACGCTGACAGTTCTATGTTTTCTGTATGTTTGTATCTGAAGTATGTGATAAGGCTGGATAAGTGTTTATTTTGTAATTTATTTGACGAGATCTGAATAAAACATTTCTGTTGGGATTCCTATAACTTTAGTATTTGTAGAGTGAACTATGAGCTGGGTGTATCTGGTGTCCGTAGCCCTAGTTTGGAAGGTGTAGTCTTGATCTGTCAAACGTGTCTGTTATGACCAGAGATTGTATTGATTACTGGTCATGCTGTCAACCTCTGGTTTGTCAAGCCACAATTACAATTTAATGTCAGACTTCATCATTCACTATAGCTGAATCTCTTGCAGAAAGCAAGTTTCACTCACTCACATGTTCCAAAACAATTTTCTTAACCTTATAGGTAGATCTACATAGACTTTAAAAGATGGTACTTGTTGTTATCCTTCCTGGAGCTCGGCAATAAGGGGATAAAACAAGGACTGGTCGGCTCATAGTCGGTGTACTGTGTCTGAGTGGGGTATCCATGTTAATCTGTGGCATGTTGTCTCAGTGGGCTAGCACTATAAAACCTGCTTGTGTCTAGACCAGTACAAGCAGCCACACTCACACATGTGCATGCTGTATTAGTGATACAATCTTGAACATAACATTAGACCCCATTTCTCCTCTCACATTGATTGTTGAGCTAATTGGATGATGATGATGATTTTAAATCCAGGAGCTGATGGATCTGGAGCGTGCATACAGCCACCTACATCGGCAGTACAACCAACGGCCGTCATCCCCAACCCGCATGTTTACTGCCTCCAGATAGTTCTCCACCAACCATACAACCATTGTGATACAATCTCTACACCCTTCCTGTAGCAGTCTGTCTTCAAGCCAGCCAACACCTGCTTTAAATGTTTCATCTACCTGGGACTTCACATTGCTGACTGTACTCCATACAGTGATATCAGGCAGCACTCTAGTTATCGTGTTAGTAACAGATGCAGTGTGAAGGAGCTGTAGTGGAAAGGGAGACAACTTCTACTTCCTGATTTACATGTTATATTTGTTTAGATTCTTATATATCATTTCCTTAGTGTCCATTGTTATATGTCTTATTAGGGAATATCTTGTGATGTTGAATACTCAAGACACACAAGGAGTTTATCGTGTATCATTTGCCCAATTTCGAAAGCATAGTCTTGACATGCTGAATCCAGGTAGGGCTATTTGGTAGCAAACAATGTTTCAATTCAAGTGCAGCTGGCAGGGTGCCCTATCACAAAAGCGTAGTGCTTTTATTCCTGATCTTCAGCAGTGCTAAACGATATCAAACCAACTTCTTCTAGAAATGAAAAAGAGTTGAGTGTTTTTGCAACTTGGCCCCAAACTCACATACATAGGAGTTATATTCACTCCAACATTTTGAACTGTAATGTTTCAATACAAATGTCCTTGCACTGATATGATAGTATACACTGTCTGTGTTGTCATAGGTTCCATTGCTGTAACTTGTAGCCATTTCTAATTTTCTATTAGTTCTAGGAAGTCATGCACTAACATTATTTAAAGTTATACAAAACATATTTATCATCTCAAAGCCTTTGAATACCATATTTGCCTTTAAGCAACCTGCTTCAATAATCACTCACTGACTCACTTCTAGACCTACATGAGCCAAGTAATCGTGTTTACATGGCATCTGTTACTTGCCTGTGAGAAGACACATATTGTATTGAAGATACAGCTGTGTAGATGGGATGCATATTATTCACACAGACATTGACTTTTTTCCAAAAGGGAACACATCATTGTGGCTTGTTACACCAGAAATCTCATGTCAACAAATTCATTGTCAGTTTCCAGGGTGGTTATTAATTATGACAAATATGGTATATTCTGTGGTTTCTATGCTGCTATCATGACATGAACTCCGAAGATAAAGAAGTTTAATTAGAAAAAAAACTTGTGGAAGCCTGTTAACATTGCCTTTAACAGCATTGCAGCCATTTATTTGGATATTTGTTTCCCTTACAACTATGCATAAAGCTAACTCATAAATTGTAGACATAATATATGTATATTCCTTTTTGTGTTACAAATTCATCATATTCATTATTTGACAAAGTAATTTTTCATTTGCCTTAAATTAAGTCCAATGTTTCTTATCAACTTAACACGTATAGTACTAACTAGACTATAAGTTTGTAATTATTTGAAGAACTACCAGCAGTATTATTGTTTGGACAAAGCTGAAATCAGTTGTCTAGCAAGCATGACGCCTGATGCAGTATTAAATGTACAGGAGAATTTGGTTTGTGGTTTGGCTTCTTAGTGTTTGAGCGTTTGTAGTTTTGTTCGGCTTTGGAGAAAATTATGTAACCCTACTCCTTATGTTAGCATTTGGAAAAGCATGTCACTTAATATAAGACTGGGAAAAAGCAATGATTATTCAATATTATGTTATATTCCATAGATTATGGAGGCAAAATATGATATTAAATCATCTGGACAAGAAACTTAAGATATCTGTTACGTCTTGACTTGAGGAACAGGGTTCTGGGCGGTTTGTTATATCTGCTACATCAGGTCAATATCACTTCTAGTTTTTTTGGCCAGGCAATTAACATGGTTGTCAAAAGTTTAATGACTGAAAAGACATTCTGAGAAACAACAGAAGTTTTCAGGATGGCATTGTCTGTTGATACTACTAGCTCTAGTTCCTCAGAGAAATTCTGGCAATGAGAGAAATTACAGCCAGTTAGTTTTGAAAAAAACTTATTTTAGCTGACGTGTTTTTTTCCCATTTTTCAAAAGGTATTGATTATGTAAAACTTGCAAATTGAAAACATGTTTATGAAATAAGTTTATTTCAAACAAAAGTGAACCTTTTATCTGTCCAGTTTGATAATTATTTTGTTATTTATGGCAAATTGTTGTACAGTGAGATAAGAATGAGTCACACATACACTTTCCAAGTTCCATATTTCCAAACTAGCTATCCATAGGGGGTCTATATGTGACCAACTTGATGAAATGGATGAAGTATTTATTGAATAAACATCAGACACATCATTCAGGCACATGGTAAATACATATATCTTCTTATACACATCACTCTGTAGCTTGAGAAGAACTTGCATGAAAGTGCAGCATTTATATATTATCAACATACTTATCCAATCAGTATCCGTCCATCTAGAAGTGATGTCATATAGACCGAGCTGTGATAATGTGTATAGCCCCCTGCTGCTGTATCCTATATACTTGTATATTGCATTTACTCTGAAATCAACTCTGATCTGTGATGTCTCAAGTCCGTCCATCAGTCAGACATATACTCATGTTGATAATCCTGTGATTGTAACCTTTAATATATATATATATATATGTTGAAATATTGTTGTATATGTTTCTTATGTGTACCTATATGTATAATATACATGTAAAAATAAATCAGTTTAAACAAACGTTCTTGTTTGAATTTAGTGAATGGATCTGTGGGGAGTCTGGTTGCTAGCAACCTGTGCTGGTTTTCTGAGGCGATTAATAGATCAGGCAGTCACATTCGGAGACTTTGTTGATTGCATGTCATCACTGGATTGTCTTGTCCAGACTTGATTAATAAATACTGACTGCCATTATATAGCTTGAATATGCTGAGTGAAGCGTTGATAAGCAGCACGCACACACACACACACACACACACTATGACAGATACACTATAGTAATGTAAAAAAATGTGTTGTTTAACCTCTTTTGAGTAGAATATATATATTGTGGCTACAGCAAATACCAAACACAGAACAAGGGCCAGAAATAAATATAATAAGCTTTCTTGATGCCTCCTGGACGTTTGTCACTGCAAGGTGTATTTTTATTTACATTTGGAAAAGATTATTTGATGTATTATTATCAATGTAAGTCAGTGCAAGTGGAATCTTCCTTCAACAGACATGGATGATCTGTGGTCTTGGGCACTGCAGTTTGCCGTGCAGAGTTGCATCCCTTGTTGTGCCAGGAGTTGCTGATCTTTTGGTTTTAAATAGCAACTTCATCATGATAATCACACCATGCTGATACCTGCTTTGGTCGGTTTCCCCAAAATGTAAAAAATTTGGATCTTCAAGACTTATGGTTACCCAAAATATCAGCATATATCCAGCTCACTGTGAATGCAGTACATTGTATTTGGAACTCAGATATTCATATTCAATAAGCACCACCACAAGCAAGGCTCCTACTTCAAGTAGTGGATTGTGTTAGGGGGGACAACTCCTGCTGTCTCAGTGACAGTGTTTGTTGGGGTTTACGTTGCTTTCAGCAAAATTCTAGCAAAATAATGATGATGGACACCCAAAAATGGGCTTCACACAATATACCTATGATGGGAAACAAACCTGACTTTCTGCATTATGGGCGAACGTTTTAAACAATAGGCTAACCCGCCACCCCACTATTTCATTAAATAATGGTAAATATACCATTCGAAAGAAGTTACTGCTTGTCGTAAGAGGCGACTGACGGGATCAGGAGGTCAGACTGCCTGACTTGGTTGATGCATGTCATCGATCCCAATTGCGTGGATCGATGCTCATGATGTCAATCACTGGATTGTCTGGGCCAGACTTATTTACAGACTGCCGTCATATAGCTGGAATATTGCTGAGAGCGGCGTTAAGCAACAAACGAACCAAACAAACCAAAAGGCCATGATAGTTCTTTTAAATTCTTTTGATATGCTGGACATGCAAACAAAGACAACACTGGACAGTTGGAGCTGTAAGATGAGTTTATCTGTGGAGCATGATATGTGCACATTTGGATGATGACAATGATGAAGGCGTGTCAGTGTTATACTGACAGCCGATGAGACAGAACGTCCATATGAACATTTCACACAACAGCTGAAGAAATGTAGCATTTCCGGTTCACATTGTGTCAAGTAAACAATCAATTGAAAGAATTAAGATACAGACTGTAGTCAACATGAACATGCAGACAAAACTTGTCAAGAAGAAAGTAGCATTAAGGACAACATGACACAGCTGTTGATGTCTCTGTGCACTGGCCATGACAGTCTTGCACAGAATCATGTCAGCATTGATGCAAGTCCTACAGTGTTTCAAAATCATTTGTTTATCTTATTTTAAATATTTTCAATAAATATCAAACCTTAGTTACATTGTTAATGCAAAGAATACTACTGGTGTAAAGTCTGAAAGTATACCCACTTTCAAAGTATACCTGGGTAGATTCTGGAATCTAACCGGGTATACTCTGAGGGGGGTAGTAGATTTTGGCAGCTTACATCGGTACCTCTACTACATCAAGAGTAATCTCACCCACCTCCCAATATTCTGCATCTAGAATGTCTGAAGTTGGAAAGGAGTTAGGGTTTCTTACCTTGTGTATGTGCAAGACGTCTGGGTAGCAAGATACTACTTGTTGCACAACTGATTATGGATAGTTGATAGTGAAAAGGATGACAGCCAAAATACAGGATTTATAAATATGATAAAATAGAGGAAGGGTAAAAATTATGTTAATATTAATATATTAAAAATATTAAAAGTGTCATCAGGTTTGATTCGTGGCCAGTTCATTAAAGCTATCAACATTCAAACAACATATTTTTTGCAATAAATAACACATGCTCTGCTTTCAGAAACATATACTTAAATGGTCTCGGTCAAATAATAAGACTTGATATTAGTGCAATAAGCACAGACAGATCACACTGGTTCCATTATTGACAGCATCTTGATTTGGAATTCAAAGAAACATTAAAATAATTTTTGTTTGAAAACTCAGCAGTTTTGCTCATTTACATATGTAGGTGTGTTTGAGCACTTTGAGCATGATGTTTTATGTGGAAGTTAGCGTATTATTAGAATTCTTATTATTATTTCATTTTTTGGCTACTAACTAGTTTGAATTTGTTTCAGATCAGATCATGATGTAGATTGAAAAAAGGATGTTGTCCAATGATACTGTAACACGATCCAACTCTCACAGATACATAGTGTTTGTTTGTATCTATTTAGGGCATATGCATGTTTGTGGCATGTTGAAAAATATGTTGATGTTTCCTGTGAGTGGTCATGACCATGATGCATATTCAGCAGGTCATCGTCTTCAGCTGTCTCACTGTGTGGGGTTTGTTAGATCCAACAAAATCACATTTTACTTTATCTAACACTGTGTACCTTGCACAAATCATTTCAGTTTTTAACAACTATTTTTTATCCCTGTAAGTAACCATCCTTATCCACTAGCATGCATCACCAATCTAAGTTCGTGTGTTCCCAAATGGGAAATGAATGTGTCACGCACTGCAGAGCATGAAGCCCTTGAATTGTATTGTGTCACTGTGTCATCATGTCATTGTCATTATGTCATCTTCCTTGTGTCATGTCATTGTCATTGTGTCATCTTCCTTGTGTCATGTAATGTCATCGTGTCATCTTTATTGTGTCATCGTGTCATCTTTGTGTCATGTCATTGTGTCATCTTCCTTGTGTCATCATGTCATCTTCCTTGTGTCATGTAATGTCTTGTGTCATCTTCCTTGTGTCATGTAATGTCTTGTGTCATCTTCCTTGTGTCATGTAATGTCTTGTCATCTTCCTTGTGTCATGTAATGTCATTGTGTCATCTTCAATATGTCATGTCATTGTGTCATCTTCAATATGTCTTGTCATTGTGTCATCTCATCGTGTCATCTTCATTGTGTCATGTAATGTCATCGTGTCATCTTTATTGTGTCATCATGTCATTGTGTCATATTCAATGTATCATGTCATTGTGTCATCTTTAATGTGTCATGTCATTGTCATCTTCATTGTGTCATCATGTCATTGTCATTGTCATTGTATCATCGTCATGTTGACATCGTCATCGTGCGTGTATTCTGATTTCTAGGTATAAGAGATTAACCTTTCGATGCCTCCTAACTTGGCACACAACATTGTACAAGGGTCATGTTTGGGGATGTCACAACAAATTTCAAATAGAAAGCAAAACTTAGAAAACTCATCCTGAAACTTCTAGCATATATTGAATGTTCATTGCATGTCTGTTGAGATGTCTTGATACACTCATCCAGGTCTGTCTCCATGCACCAGACAATACAAGGGAGACAATCCACACGACAAGTTTCACAAGCCGTTAGATCAGGCAGTTGAAGAAACCAATCACTTGTCATTATCACAGACAACACAGTTGGTTTGTTAAATAAATAAATAAATATATATGCTTGGATGACAAGCACAAGACAAAGAGAGATCGAACAGCTTCCAACTTGAGGTTTTTCACAGTTCTCCAGTCAAGTGCATCATCCACACAGTATTGCAGTTCTCATACAAACATGTCAACTTGAACTTGTTTCATAGTGTCACACTTGTGTAGCTTTAGGCATTTACATACAATACTTCTCAGTCCTCGCACAGATTCGTCAATCATCATCACCATTGCTGTAGTATGGAGGTAAAGGTCAACAACAACTTTCAAGGTCATCCAAGTGACTTCAACATTTTCTTCACAGGAGGATTAACATTGACTCCATGAAACTTCCACTCCAACGCACAGAAGTCCGCACACTCAATCTTTTCTCTCTGAAATTCAGGCAGCTCGGCTGTGTCCTCGGTCCTGGAACAAAACAAGGACATAATGTTATTTTAAACTACAATATTTTTTTATAATAATGTTGTTACTATATGTTTTGAAAGCTGTTCATTTGATCACTTTTGACCACCTCCATGATGGATAGAGCGTCTGCCTGGAGAGCGGATGGTCAGTGGTTTGATTCCTGTCCATGTTATACCCAAAGACATTAAGAGATGGTACATGTTGTTACCCTGCCTGGCTCTCAGCATTAAGGAGATACAACAAGGACTGGTCGGCTCAGAGTCTGTATACTGTGTCCGTTATGTTTCTAGATTTGTCAGCACCATACCCGTGCTCGTGGGTTTCACCAAAGTGGTAAACGCCAATGACCTGCATAAGTTCGGGCTTTCCTTCTAGCAGAGATGCTGTGATATGACTGGTCAAAGAGTACTGGTCAAAGTGGTGTTAAACCCAATTCACTCACTCACTGTTATATTAACATGAAATAAGACTCAGCTTGTCGAGATGAACAGGAAGACCTCTGAAGGACTACTCACACAAACTTGGGGTACAGAATCCTCTCAGCGAAGGCAGCAACTCCACAGAACAGCTTGTAGTCGATGCGTGTCTCTTCATCAATCTCCAGCAGCTGACACACCTCTGCCACCTCCTCCTTGCTGATGGTGTTGACCAGCACATCCTTCAGGGCCTTCTCTATGTCCTGCAGATACACAGGGAAACACATTGTATAGGTCCTGCACAACACACAGGGAAACAGTGTATATATATATATATATATCCTGCGCAACACACAGGGAAACACATTGTATATGTCCTGCACAACACACAGGGAAACAGTGTATATTTCCTGTACAACACACAGGGAAACACATTGTATATTATATGTCCTGTACAACACAGGGGAAACACATTGTATACGTCCTGCACAACACACAGGGAAACAGTGTATATATATATATATATCCTGCGCAACACACAGGGAAACACATTGTATATGTCCTGCACAATACACAGGGAAACACATTGTATATTATATGTCCTGTACAACACAGGGGAAACACATTGTATATGTCCTGCACAACACACAGGGAAACACATTGTATATTATATGTCCTGTACAACACAGGGGAAACACATTGTATATATCCTGTACAACACACAGGGGAATACATTGTATATTATATGTCCTGCACAACACACAGGGAAACACATTGTATATGTCATGCACAACACACAGGGGAACAGTGTATATATCCTGTACAACACACAGGGGAACAGAGTATATATCCTGTATAACACACAGGGAAACACATTGTATATGTCCTATACAACACACAGGGAAACACATTGTATATGTACTGCAGATACACAGGGAAACACAGTGTATATATCCTGCACAACACACAGGGAAACAGAGTATATATCCTGTACAACACACAGGGAAACACATTGTATATGTCATGCACAACACACAGGGGAACAGTGTATATATCCTGTACAACACACAGGGGAACAGAGTATATATCCTGTATAACACACAGGGAAACACATTGTATATGTCCTATACAACACACAGGGAAACACATTGTATATGTACTGCAGATACACAGGGAAACACAGTGTATATATCCTGCACAACACACAGGGAAACAGAGTATATATCCTGTACAACACACAGGGAAACACATTGTATATGTCCTGCACAACACACAGGGAAACAGAGTATATATATCCTGTACAACACACAGGGAAACACATTGTATATGTCCTGCACAACACACAGGGAAACACAGTGTATATATCCTGCACAACACACAGGGAACAGAGTATATATCCTGTACAACACACAGGGAAACACAGTGTATATGTCCTGCACAACACACAGGGAAACACAGTGTATATATCCTGCACAACACACAGGGAAACACAGTGTATATATCCTGTACAACACACAGGGAAACACAGCATATATGTCCTGCACAACACATAGGGAAACACAGTGTATATATCCTGCACAACACACAGGGAAACACAGTGTATATATCCTGTACAACACACAGGGAAACACAGTGTATATGTCCTGCACAACACACAGGGAAACACAGTGTATATATCCTGTACAACACACAGGGAAACACAGCATATATGTCCTGCACAACACATAGGGAAACAAATACTTTCTGCTTAAATACATGTCCTAAGTTCCTAAAAATACATAATGCCAATCAATCGACAGTGAAGACAATGTTGAATTAAGGATTACAACTTCTCTTTCCTTTCATGTGATGTTTTTTGTGGAGATGCTAGTACTTCCATCAAACAAGACTGAAACATTGCATCGACAGAATAAAACAGTTGACATACAGACCTCAAGTCTGTCTTCAGTTTCTAGGTAGCACAGGGGACTGGTGGTGTCATCACTTCAAAAAACTCTATGTACCTGGGAATAAAATATGCACTCACTTTAAAGGGGATGACGCCTGTCTTGTCTCTGTTCTTGGAGTGTATTTTCTGGTAGAGTATATGCCGTCTGGATGACACGACACAGTAGGTCCGCAGGTAGTCCTGTGGGGTCATCTCTGGGAAACAGAAACAACACTGTCACTTGGCTGCACTTCGTGGGTCCTCCTTCTCGTGTTGTTTCATATTACTTTAAGTGCAGGCTTTCCTTGAGACTATTTGCAGATTTTTCTTTGTTTTGAAATATGTCAAGGTCAGTATGACAAAACGTACAACCAGGCTTGACTAGAGACTGATTTAAATTAAGCATATCAACAATTCTAAACATACCAAACATTTATTGAGGGTAGATTCTAATGACTTGAATTAATGTTAAAACAATGCTAGAGACTTGATTTGACCAGAGCACCTATTCCTCATTGTGCCAAGTTGACCATCTACCTAATGTTGGTGCCATGTTTACCATCTACCCTTGGTGCCATGTTTACCATCTATCATGGGCACAATGTTTACCATCTACCATTGGTGCCATTTTTACCATCTATCTTTTGTGCCATGTTACCATCTATCTTTTGTGCCATGTTTACCATCTACCATTGGCACTGTTTACAATCTACCATTGACATCATGTTTGCAATCTACCATTGGTGCCATGTTTACCATCTATCTTTTTTGCAATGTTTACCATCTACCATTGGTGCCATGTTTACCATCTACCACTGGCACCATGTTTACCATCTATCTTTTTTGCAATGTTTACCATCTACCATTGGTGTCATGTTTACCATCTACCATTGGCACCATGTTTACAATCTACCATTGGCACCATGTTTACAATCTACCATTGGCACCATGTTTACCATCTATCTTTTGTGCCATGTTTACCATCTACCATTGGCACCATGTTTACCATCTACCATTGGTGTCATGTTTATCATCTATCTTTTGTGCCATGTTTACCATCTACCATTGGCACAATGTTTACTATCTAGAATTGGTGTAGCATTTACTATCTACCATTGGAACCATGTTTACCATCTATCTTTTGTGTCATCTTTACCATCTAGAATTGGTGAAGCATTTATCATCTATCTTTTGTGCCATGTTTACCATCTACCATTGGTGTCATGTTTATCATCTATCTTTTGTGCCATGTTTACCACCTACCACTGGCACCATGTTTAAGATCTACCATTGGCACCATGTTTACCATCTACCACTGGCACCATGTTTAAGATCTACCATTGGCACCATGTGTACCATCTACCACAATGTTTTCCATCTACCATTGGCGCTATTACCAACATAAATCCTGACAAATGTCACTTTAACGGCTGTCCTGGTGATAGCTTGTGTTCACTTACTCTCAAGCACCTTCATGTCCATTGGCAGGGTGAACCGGCTGGACTGTTGGGACAGAGCTAGACGGCCGGTCAGCCATGAACTCATCCGCACGCGGTTCTGCAAGGGAGGCAACTCTAGGTGAGTATTACGTTCTACACATGGTACATCAATATCGTCTCACAAACTCCATAACTTCATAGCTCTCATATTATTTTACATGTTTAATACTTTCTCAAAAATCTCTTAAATTAGATATTTACTTATTGAAAATCCATTAATTGAAAGATAGGCTCTTCTTATGGATTAGATTTGTGTTTTTAAAATTGCAAATAATGCTTACTTTAGAATATGAAAGAAAGTATACTGAAAGGCAAAAATAACCATATTCATCATATTTAGATTTACTTAGAAACACAATAAGCAAAACTCAAAATGTGTACCGGTGTTTAATAGACCTTTAAGAGTTTTTAATTTATAAATAAATATATTAAAATTTGACAAGCAATTTGAGTTTTTCACTCATATAAGATGTATGGTAGTTTGGAAAGATTGGAAAATTTGAGATGGGACTTTTCTTTTTACCAAACTACAGAATGAAACAGCACTGGCCAAGTCTTTCTTTAAAGTGGTTTGTCAAAGTACAACGTTAAAGACACTTGAACAGTCTTAGAGACTGTAAAAACTGTTAATTTATCATTAATTACCGAATTCGACGTAATAAGCGCCCAGGGCGGTCTCAAATTAGAAATAGAGAATTATGAGAATAAAATTTTGGTGAAAAAAAAAAAGGTTGAAAGATAAATTTCGTGGTTTATGCTGACAGCCTGAAATGTTTATATACGACAGATACATTTTACCAGAATTTAATTGCCCATAATTAAGGGTGCATGTAACACACGAGTGTGTATTATACGCGAATAAATAAGTCTTATGTACATTGATCAATCGAAAGGGGTGCTAATTGGGATTGTTCACTAGCCAATATATTAGCAAATATCGCTTATTAGAGCAGGGCGCTTATTACGTCGAATACGGTAATCCATAATAACTATTAATTTTCAGTTATAAAAAAAATAAAATTTTAAATTATATGATTAGGTTTTTTTGCCTTTGAGTATACATGTACAACAACAGCATAATTCACTGTTTTTCTAATTCAGTGCTGTAATATTGCCATTTGAAGGTTACATGTGTTCATAATGATGGTGTTAAGATATATACATACATTGTTGCTGATAAAGATAGATAAATATATTAATGCTGATATATACATTGTAGGTATATATATATACAGTGTTGTAGTGACCACTTCACAGTGAGTGTTGACGACACTAACAACATCATGAAAATATAATTGACATCCCCATCGATCCCCAAATCAATAGCTCTGGTTCAGCAGTGAGATGATGGGCGCAGTGTTGCAACAACTAGTCTGTTCCAGCGATGTGCATCACACAAGGTTGCTAGGTGTCGTCATCGGTAACACCAGTGATATGAACAACATTAAGTGTCGTCGATATACACCTTGTTTCATCACAACGTTCAATGATATACTTTGTGTCATCATTGATATACCTTGTGTCATCACAACGTTCATTGATATACCTTGTGTCGTCACAACGTTCATTATTCATAGGAGGTTAACATGTGAAAGTGAGCTTGAAGATATAAAATTGTCAGAAAGCATCATAATAAACACACAATGCCATTTAGAAAGTGGTCAAATGTAACAAATGTTATATTTGGGATAACACTTTCTTGGTAAAGTACAGATTCTTGTACGTTTTGGGGTTGAGTCCCGTCCAGGATTCGAACCCACGCCACCAGAGTCAGGCACCTAAAACGCCAGCACACAAAGTCAGCGATCTAACCCACTCGGCCACCGGCAGTGTGGGTTCGAATCCCAGACGGGACTCAACCCCAAAATGTATGAGAATCTATAAATTACCAAGAAAGTGTTATCCCAAACATAACATGTGTGACAAGCATCCTAATGTATTGCTGGCTGAAGAAAGTGTGGGAGGCTGTGACACTGAAGTGGTGGATATTGGACATGAGTGTCACATGAACAACGTCTATTACACTGTCGTAGGAGTCCTGGAGGAGATCCATGTCAGACAAGTCCGACACACTGTCTGATGTCTGGCGGGGAGAAATCAACGTATTACCTCACACACAATATACAGAAACATCTGATGATGTGATGATGTGATGATCACAACACTGATAACCCTGGGCAGTGGGACATCCCAGAATGCATCATATTTCTGACTTCTGCCACAAATTTTTAATTTGATGTTTCAAAGATTTATTCATGCATTTCAAAACAAGATCGGTCAAAATAAAAAAATAAAAACTTAACGATGTCAATCATTTACTTATTTATATGAAAGTCATTCTGATGGAGTTAAAACTGAAGCTGGCCTCTTGATTCACTGATAGTGATGTAGACATGAACTTATATATGACATTTATATTGTATAAGAGGGTCTACATTACTAGCTGGAGACAAAATAAAAATAAATATTTTTATGCTTAATTCATTTCTTTTCCAGCTCTTTTTCAGTAGGGGTGGTGGGTCCGTGAAATGAAAAAAAAATGAAAAAAAATGTATGGCCTCGGAGTGGAGCAGTGCCTTTCAATGACTATGAATCAGTTTGTTCCATCTACAATCATGGACCAGTGTGTTCCAGCGTTCACAAACTCGCCCTGATGGCCCACATAACTCCCAATACCCCGCATCAGCCACAAGAACTTCATATATGAGTTTATATCATAATGATAGGCACATTGTGTTTCCAGTCGCCTAAGGCACTGTGATTCGCTGTGCAGAGTTGTGTCCCCTGGGCACACCAGAAACCTACGATTGTGTGTTCGAATCACGGTTCGCCCCGATTATGTTTCTAGGTTTGTCAGCACCATACTTGTGGGTATCATCGAGTAGTAAACATCTGAGACCTGCATCACTTCGGACTTTCCTCCCACATGAAGCTGACACGGCGGTATATAAATGGAATACTGTAAAAAGTGGCGTTAAACCCGACTCACTCTCTCATTCATCCTATTACATAATATCGCTTGTGACATGACCAGTGTCCAGTCCAGCCATGGGTGTATCATGACATCCCCTATGGTTGAGTCCCCACCTCCAAGTTGCAATACAGCTCAAATAGTAACGTACTACCGTGTTTGCCACATTAAGCCCCCACTCTAATAAGCAGCCCCCTGGTCAACTTCGGGACCAATCTGTCAGTAATCTTTAAGAGCCCAAAAATTGACATGACAAGCAGTATTTTTTTTAAATAACCCATCTTTTTCCAGTAAACACAGCTGTGTGAAAAGGGCATGTAACTGCCTTGTACGGCAGCCTTTTAGGGCCATTTGTTTTTTTCCGATACTATCTTGAAATTTCAAGATACTAAGTTGAAATTTCAAGATACTATCTTGAAATTTCAAGATAGTACCGACATTTTAAAAACAAAACAAATGGCCCTAAAAGGCTTCCGTAGCCTTGTTACTATTTTCGAAATGTTTAAGTTTCATGGATGCTTTAAATAAACCTATCCTCTACTACCTAAATTTACTACCTAAAGATATCCCAACACTCGCACTGTCAGTTTACAAAGCGTTGAGGACAGTAGATACGGTAAGTCTGACATTTGCTTTAGAGTTATGTCCCTTTACAGTTTTATGCCACAATGGTCACCCATGAGACGAAAGATTTAAACATACAAATGCTGAACAAGAGAAGGTGTTATGATCAACATACATGCTGGTCAGCTGAAAAAGTGGACACTTAGCATACCCTGTATTAGCTAAAAACATCAGGTCACAGACAAAATAGAATAGGACAGAATAGCTTCCCCAGACTGACACCAACATAGAAGCACTTCATTGTTACATAAACTATGTTACATGTCTGGTTACACTATGTTACAGGAGATCATAAAAATATAGCTATCCACAGGCTTCTGACTTTGTCATTAAATCTTTTTTTTTTAAATTGCAAACTGCTAAGAACCATCTCAGACAGTGAGTTATAAATAGAGCAATGAGATTCTCTTGTTCACCTGATGCTTGTTTACCCCCATTTAATGGTCCAAATTGTAAAGAATTTTAAAATATCTAAAACGAAATTCATGATGGTATTGGGAGGACATTGGTGATGTAAAACTAAATATTCCGTAGTTTGACTTGTTCAGTAACTATTAACTGTCATAATGAAATGTAGCAGGGGAAATGTTTGCCCTGAATTAAAAACAAAATGACTGTCTCCGTGGTCCAGTAGATTGAGCGTCTGCCTGAAGAGCAGAATATTGGTGTTTCGATCCCCAGCCATGTCATACAAAAAAATATTAAAAGATAATACTGCTGACATTTTCAATCTGACTAACATGGCCGCTATGCTGCAGACAGGATACTATTTCTGTTTATTATAAGTAAGAGTTAAAGTCACCACTCATTCAACAATAACAGCTTCATAAGGCCAAATATGCTTTTTGTGCTTTCAAGACAAAAAAAACTGAAGTTAGAACAACAGAAGGCTTTTGACAATTTGGGGGGTCAACTCTGTTTTACAATTCCAGTTTGAAAGGAGAGGCCCAATACAGAAAAAAAAACAAGAAAAAATCAACAATGCCACCATGCTGCATTGAGAATCAGCTGACGAATGTGTGAGCAGTTCTTAAAGGTACTATTTCCAGAACTTTCAGAAGGGACATCGAAAATGTTTGACGGAAAGGCATAAAACATGAATATCGGAGACTGGACTCAGAAGTTGAGGGTACTGCACATTTTTATTGTTTTAGTATAACAACAGTGTGCTTCTGTGGTTAGTTAGTTAGTTAGTTAGTTAGTTAGTTAGTTCCGCACTCAGCAATATTCCAGCTATATGACAGTCGGTGCTACTGTGTGGTCACAGAAATAATTGCTCAGTTCTTAACTGATACAGATGAACAAGAATACATTTATTTTAACATATGTACATTTTAAAAGAAACTCAAGATTGTATGACACAGTCAGATGCCTGAACAACAACAAACAAGAAACTAGTGGGAAGTTTCATATAGTAGAGATAGATTAGCACAGCACATACGAACATGACACACAAGAAACAAAATGGAGCTTATTTCAAGAGGATATGTTATAAAAAGTAGAAAAAGGCTTTAAGATCAATAATCAATAATCAACAATACTATATGAAACAAGCACCATACAACACTGCTGTACCTTAGATAGAGCATCATCACTCATGCTGTCTGCATCAAAGTCAAACTCCTTGCGATGATCGCGCATTTCCTGCATCAACAGCTCCTACACATGCAAACACATGCACATGCATTGAAATTAACATCAGTGCTGTCAATCACCCTAGTGTGGGAGAACGCATGTCAGCGAGGAAATCAACAAGAAACATCGCCATTGCCAAACCTTGAATCATTTCTAAACATCCTTTGCAAAATCTGTATAAAAATGTGGAAACAAATTTGAAAACTTCTAGTACCGTATATGACTGTGGATAAGTTGATCTCAGAGTTAAGCTACGGTATAAACATGATGCTTGTTATCTGTATGAAAATGGTATTGTCAGAACATAAGCCGGACCACCAACCGGCTTCTACATCTTTCCGTCATCGGGAACAGAATATCATCAAATCCATATTAAATTATGCAAAATACAAGACAAATAGACATGGTTATCTTATTCCCCGTATATAATAATGCCTAGCAGAACAAGAAATACAATAGAAATCGTAAATCATCATGCCTGCAAATGTTTGATAGCAAATTTCACATTTTCATTGACCAACAAGGTAGACACAATTTTATGGATAACAACTTCTTTAATACTGCAAAAAGCGACGTTTCAGTATAAATCTATACCGAAATGTCGCTTTTTACAGTATCAAAGAAGTTGTTATCCATAAAATTGTGTCTACCTTGTCATCTGTCAAATTCTAAGTAATGCCTATAAAACAATTCATTGACCAAGTTTTAGTTCACCTGAAGTGATACGATTGGGTTTTCACTGGGCACAATAATCAATTACGCAAATAAAAAATAGAAAAATAATGTCATGAAAGTGTTATAGTGCAAACTATTTCAATACTTTTATTTAAAATTGTGCAAACCATTTCAATACTTTTATTTAACATTTCATTTATCTAAATACCTAACTGGTTCAATATGTTTCCAAGTGCACCGAAATTCTATGCCCTTTGTTTAATATATTCAGCAAACATTCGACGTATCCCCTCTTATCATAAGCCCCTCCGGGCAGGACCCTTAATCTCCAGGGCTATCTATAAATTTCAATTAACACCTCCTAACGTCGCTGGATCTTACGTCTATACATACACGTGGGACAATGACCTTGCCACACGTTACGTAATACCTCGCTCTACAAAACCCGACTGACATGGTCAGTCAGAGGGAGACAGCCTAGAGAGACAGCCAGAAGGTAAGTGACAGAACGGTTCTCCCACCCGGGAACATTGGCCACTCGGTCCCGGTGTGCATTCTGTCACGTTATTATCAACATGTACCTTTTCGACTTGTTCCAAACCATCAACAATAAACATGGCTGCTGTCGTCTAAACTTCACCCTGAGTTTTGTCTTCCGTCATAACCCTGAGCCAACATCCGAGGGCCGAAATTTACGCCCTTGGACAAAAGTGTAACCTTTACATAGACCGCCCCCCTTTTACTGAACCATTTTTCTCAAGCTCTGGCTTATCTACAGTCATATACGGTATTACACTGCAAATTACGGATGTCATGTAAATTTCATGCAAGAATCAATTAAAATACTACGCTACGCCTTTCAGTAACACGCAATCAATGTCACTGATCAATGTCACTGCTCACACCATGCATATTTCTACTAAATCAACCCTAATGCATATTATATGCAATTACTAAACTCCATGCTGTTTACTAATGTGTTGTTTTCGTACTGAAATATTGTGACAGCCTTTATTTTCTATATCACCACAAACTCTCCCAATCTGTCATCATAAACACTACCTCCTGTCAACTAACTGGTGCATCACATGTCTGAAACCTGTATAGTTTATTTAGGCTAAAAAAAATAATAGTCTTGGTTCTCAGGCACCGCCTGCATTATCATAAAGTATGCCACCCCTTTCGTTTATATTTCCATTTTAAAAAAGAAAGAAAAAAAGTCCATAAATATTCCAAGCTCAACAGTAGTCAAACACTGTATTCCAGTATTATACTCATCAAGGGATACATTTATGTTGGGAGGCCGTTTCCCAGGTTGATTGTACACAATTGTTTATTTGGTTACATAATAGTTTGAATAACAAAAAAAAACACCCAAAAAACACTGCCTGCCCGCACTAAATTTTCAAAAGCCATTGCCTCAGAACCAATTCTTTTATTTTTGAAGCCTTAGAGACTGATGTATTCTGCTTGTTTAAATCAATGAATGCAGTAGAAAGGGATCATTGATTAAATGATCACAACACTCGTAAACGCAGATACTCATTGAAGCACACTAAACATGTTGACGTGACCTAAAGCTTGCATAATTTGGCTTTTCAGGTGACAGATATTTTCCATCATTTCTCAAATTGCCTGTTTAAGACATGAGTGTTTACTAAACTGAGCATAAGTGAGTTTTGTTTGTTTGTTTGTTGTGTAACCCTGCACTCATCAATATTCCAGCTATATGACAGCAGTCTGAAAACATTCGAATCTGGATCAGACAATCCAGGGATTGACATCATGAGCATCGATTAACCAAGTCAGCGAGCCTGACCACCTGACCCTGTTAGTCACCGGTTAGTTACTCGCATGGGTTGCTGAAGATCAATTCTACAATGGATCATTAAGGGTCGAACAGTGAGTGAAGTAGTAGATAAACCTTCTTTGTTTTGAAATTTGAGGTTTTCCCACTCTAGAATTGAAACCTTATTATTATTTTTGAACTGAGCATATAGCTTGAGCTTTAAACCTGTTCTTCACACAACACATTCAATATTCCAGCTATTATACAAAGGCTTGTAAATACAGTCAAGTCCCGTTAATCCAACATGGTTGGTTGCATATGATTATGATGGATTAACAAGTATGTCAGATAAATGAAAATAAGTAGTATCAACGTTCATGATCGAAAATCGGACCACTACAGGAAAGATAACGATACAAACAAACAAGATTAAGTTAATCTAAGCATGTGATGAATCCTGTTTTATTTAACTAAAGCATTGTTGAATGTTAAGCAAGTTTATCTCTGTAGCCGTTGTAATATGCAACTACCAGCCGACTCGTCTCGCATCAAAACACGGGCTGTGATCACTGTGTCGGATTAACGAGATTGATTAATGAGTGATTTTCGGTAATTTGTTGCAAATTAGGTGTGTCGGAGTCGGAGTGCGAGACTGTTGGATAAACAGGTCTAAATAGCACTGATTTAATCAGTCCCCATCATAAGTATTGGATAAGGCCGATTGTCGGATTAACGAGTGTCGGATTAACGAGACTTGACTGGACCAGACAAACCGATGGTTGATACCATGAGCAGCAACCCACAATGACATGCAATGAACAATGTCGCAGAGCTGAACACAAACCCTTATAGCCCCTCTCATGACAAGAATTGTTGGTGCTCGGGGGTAATACACCTAGGTTAATGGAATGTTTGACAAAGGAAGGGTCTGGATCTCTTTCAGACCAAAGGGTGTGCAGTAAGGTGTCTTGCTGGTTGGGTGAGTTTTATGGATGGGCAGTCTAAAACATCTATCTTTGGAATCTCCATGCAAATTCCTGCATGTTGCAGGTAATACTAGCCCTTGAAGATCCGGGGTAGAATAGGTCTTCAGCAACCCATGCTTGCCGTAAAAGGTGACTATGCTTCTTGTAAGAGGCGTATAATGGGATCGGGTGGTCAGGCTCACTGACTTGGTGGATACATGTCATCGATCCCAATTGCGTGGATCACTGTTCATGGTGACAATCACTGGATTGTCTGGTCCAGACTTGATTATTTACAGACTGCCGTCATATAGCTGGCATATTGCTGAGTGCGGCGTTAAACAACAAACAAATAAAGCAGGTAATGCTACCACTACAACCTCAGTCAGTTGACAGAACTTAACTAGGTGCTTTCTGACAGAAGAATTCACAGGTTCTGCTGACTGGTATTGAGTATGCATCTGAAGGAGATATTGTTGTATTAGTACCACTGACAAGGGTGAGGACTTACATTGAGATCAGACCGGAGGAACTCCGCCTCGATCAGCTGGCGCCGAGCTCGATCTGCCCTCTGTTCCCGTAGCTTGTCCTGCTTGTTGGAGGAAGGAAGATCTGGTATCTTGCTGTCAGCCTGGGGGCTGTCAGAGTCAGTTCTGAAATGTACAACAATGCAGTGAAATGTACAACACTATACTGAAATGTACAACAATGCAGTGAAATGTACAACACTATACTGAAATGTACAACAATGCAGTGAAATGTACAACACTATACTGAAATGTACAACATAATACTGAAATGTACGACACAATACTGAAATGTTCAACAATACACTGGAATGTACAAAACAACACAATTCTGAAATTCACAACCATAAACCCAAATGTACAAGTTCTGAAATATACAACAAAAGACTGAAATATACACCGAAATGTACAACATACACTGAAATGTACAACAATATTTTGAAATACACAATAAAAAAGCACAATATTCTGAAATATGACCAAATACTTCTATTGAAAAATACAACATGCTGAAAAAAAATGAAACATAAGTGTAGAACTTGATTGCATAAACTGCTTTTGACATTTTCACAAATACAGCCATTGCACACAAAACGGAAAATACTAAATGTTGGGCTCTTTGTGAAAATATTGTCCATTTCAACTTGAGAGCTGACCTAGTGTAATGTGCGACTGTTCCCATCGACTGACATGCACAGTCCACATTGAATACAGACACCTTTAATGATGGTTGTAAATCCTAGCGCTGGATTGGTGCCAAACAGTTGCAATTCAAACAGTGGTGTAAAATGATATTTCTCCTAAAAGTTTGACAATATCCTATTCACTGTCACACTTGGAGCCAAAGCTGATGATTGTTGGAGGACCTGGTGTTCTGTTCAGCACAAACACCAGGTCTGTTAAGGCTTCAACAACAATACTTAACCTTTTGTGGACATGCACCCTCACAAACTGTCAATAACAGATTAATGTTTGCTATTAAGAGTGCCAGATACTCAATAATACTCCTAATAGCTGTTCAAATAACCATTTTCTTTAGTGATCAATACAACCCGGGTATATTTGTACAATATAACACTAATACACGTATACAAAGCACATACTGCCCCTTCATTCATTCACAGTATGTATTGTGCACACAGGCTGTGGACTTGGCTGGATCTGTTCACCTCCCTGGTAATATCTCAGTTCACCATCCTGGTAATATCTCAGTTCACCATCCTGGAAATATCTCAGTTCACCTCCCTGGTAATATCTCAGTTCACCATCCTGGTAATATCTCAGTTCACCATCCTGGAAATATCTCAGTTCACCTCCCTGGTAATATCTCAGTTCACCTCCCTGGTAATATCTCAGTTCACCATCCTGGTAATATCTCAGTTCACCATCCTGGTAATATCTCAGTTCGTCTCCCTGGTAATATCTCAGTTCACCATCCTGGTAATATCTCAGTTCACCTCCCTGGTAATATCTCAGTTCACCTCCCTGGTAATATCTCAGTTCACCATCCTGGTAATATCTCAGTTCACCATCCTGGTAATATCTCAGTTCACCATCCTGGTAATATCTCAGTTCACCATCCTGGTAATATCTCAGTTCGTCTCCCTGGTAATATCTCAGTTCACCTCCCTGGTAATATCTCAGTTCACCTCCCTGGTAATATCTCAGTTCACCTCCCTGGTAATATCTCAGTTCACCATCCTGGTAATATCTCAGTTCACCTCCCTGGTAATATCTCAGTTCACCTCCCTGGTAATATCTCAGTTCACCTCCCTGGTAATATCTCAGTTCACCTCCCTGGTAATATCTCAGTTCACCTCCCTGGTAATATCTCAGTTCACCATCCAGGTAATATCTCAGTTCACCATCCTGGTAATATCTCAGTTCACCTCCCTGGTAACATATCAGTTCACCTCCCTGGTAATATCTCAGTTCACCATCTAGGTAATATCTCAGTTCACCATCCTGGTAATATCTCAGTTCACCTCCCTGGTAACATATCAGTTCACCATCCAGGTAATATCTCAGTTCACCATCCTGGTAATATCTCAGTTCACCTCCCTGGTAACATATCAGTTCACCTCCCTGGTAATATCTCAGTTCACCATCCAGGTAATATCTCAGTTCAACTCCCTGGTAATATCTCAGTTCAACTCCCTGGTAATATCTCAGTTCACCATCCTGGTAATATCTCAGTTCACCTCCCTGGGAATATCTCAGTTCACCTCCCTGGGAATATCTCAGTTCACCTCCCTGGGAATATCTCAGTTTACCTCCCTGGTAATATCTCAGTTCACATCCCTGGTAATATCTCAGTTCAACTCCCTGGTAATATCTCAGTTCACATCCCTGGTAATATCTCAGTTCAACTCCCTGGTAATATCTCAGTTCACCATCCTGGTAATATCTCAGTTCACATCCCTGGTAATATCTCAGTTCACCTCCCTGGTAATATCTCAGTTCACATCCCTGGTAATATCTCAGTTCAACTCCCTGGTAATATCTCAGTTCACATCCCTGGTAATATCTCAGTTCAACTCCCTGGTAATATCTCAGTTCGCCATCCTGGTAATATCTCAGTTCACCATCCTGGTAATATCTCAGTTCACCATCCTGATAACATCACCAACTACTTGTGAATTTCCCATCAATCCTATCCCTCCATCTTACACCCTCCTTCTCCCATTAAGCTTCCTCTTGCCTGCTCTTCTTCCCCATCCAGGGTACTGTACTCACAACTCACTGGTGTCAAAGACCACCAACAGAATTATAGAGAAAGTGACCCAGCAGGCACTACATTGTAAGTGAGTGAGTGAGTTTGGCTTAAAGCTGCTTTGGACAGTACTAGAGATACCACAGTGCATCAGCTTAATGTGTTAGGATTGCTGACTTGGTTGATGCTTGTCATTGTGTCCCAATTTTGTGGATCGATGCTCATGATATCAATCACTGTATGGACTGCCTGGTCCAGACTCGATTATTTACAGACCGCCGTAATATACCTGGAATAATGCTGACGAATAAGACGACTGAGCCACCAATACCCCCGACCCGACGACACAATCAGGGTTCCAGCATGACATTACTTAAACCTTAAGCCTTCCACAAACATAACAAGACCTGTTGTTTGAAAAGCTGTGAAAATATTTGTAACCTCCCTATCTTGTTCTAGAATTATCTTTTATCCTTTGGGAAACCAGCTTGAGCCAATCTGAAGTTCAAACAAATGCTGCTTTTATTAAGGCAATATATTGCAATTGGTTGGTCTTGGTCGTATATGACTGACAGAAATTGGTAATTTCGTCACAGATGCACTAAGACACTTTGTGTACTTTTAGCTGAAACAACGTCAAACCAACTACAGTCAAGTCCTGTTAATCCAACATGGTTGGTTGCATATGGTTATGTCGGATTAACGAGTATGTCGGATAAACAAAATCAGGTAGTATCAACAATAGATAAAAATACAAACACGTAATTAAAAAAATGAAAAATGAATATATTGTTGTGTTACATTGTTAGCGGAATATGTTTTCTAATCATGCAATCTAAAGCTTAACACAAAACTACTGTTACGGACTGTATGACTTATTCAAAATACTTTAAAAAGCATAGTCTGGAATGGAAGTGGCCAGTCTGAAACTGGTACCACAAAGCTTGAGAAAGCTGCTTTCTTAGTGGCTAACATTGACTTCCTGTTGGTCATTTCATTGGTCGGTCATAGTTCGCGTAAGGTTGTTTTGATGTGACCTGTAATGGGATGTCCTCGGCGATAGCGAGAACTTGTATCTGATTTTAATGAGATTGAGGTAACCTAAGCATGTGATTAATCCTGTTTTCTTTACTTAACGCATTAATTGTTTATTGTTAAGCAAGTTTATCTCTGCAGCCGTTGTAATATGCAGCTACCAGCCGACTCGTCTCGCATCAAAACACGGGCTGTGTACTCATGGGCAGATGACCACGGAGTACGCTGATCACTGTGTCCGATTAACGAGACTGATTAATGAGTGATTTCGCTAATTTGTTGCAAATTAGGTGCGTCGGAGTCGGAGTGTGAGACTGTCGGATTAACGGGTCTAAATAGCACTGATTTAATCGGTCCCCATCATTCGTGTCGGATAAAGCCGAATGTTGGATTAACAAGTGTCGGATTAACGCGGCTAGACTAGGGCTGAGTCCGAATTTACTACCCGGGTACCCATCCCTCTATTACCTGACCCTACCCAGGTACTCACTCTAGGTCTCAAGAGATAGGTACAAAATGTCCGATTGGGCATTCTGTTATCATAGCACTGGCAAAACATATTTAGACACATGTATTAAACAATCTGATCATGCATACATTGACGTTGACTCAAGTTATATCTTTATTCAAAGATATGAAAAGTCAGAAGGAATGCGAACATTTGTGACCATAGAGTTCTGGGTACTTTTCTGTCATTAACATGACACGGGTCCTGGCAGTCCTGTGGGCACCCAGGTTCTACTCAGTACCCACCCAACCTAGGTACCCGAATTACCCGTCCCAGCCCTAGACTAGACTGTATAGGGTAACTAGGGGTTACATGTATCAAAGCTGTGTTTTGGACATTAAGCTTACAGTGTTTCGGTGACTGTTTTCAGTCAACTAATAATGTTTGTATGATTATGTCAAATACAATTGTTAAGTGTATATTTTATTTCCCTGGCAGTTTAATATAAAAAATATTATATAAGCTATCTTCCTCTTTGTAATGATACCATTTCGCTGAGTTGGTGAGTTAATGCTGCTAAACAATGCAGTCATATGTCTGGCTGACACACCCTGATTCTCGTCAGTAATGAGCCAAACAAAAAATATATGTTTGAAGATATACATGTACTATATATGCTTCCAGGTTGTCTATAAACATCACAATAACACAACGAAACATGATATCAATGTCAGGTGGACATGCACAATGAAGACTGATATCGAGGACAGAGGACCGTCAGATGGACATGCACAATGAGGACTGATATCAAAGACAGAGGGCCGTCAGATGGACATGTACAATGAAGACTGATATCAAAGACAGATGGCCGTCAGGTGGACATGCACACTCAAGACTGATATCAAAGACAGATGATTGTCAGATGGACAT